AGTTAAATTTAATAGAGTTAGAACCCCCCCCCCCCCAACCACTGAGTGTACCTAGGATTCATGCCTGTAACTTTGGTCACCGGAGCCTATAGGGACATTGGAGGAGGTGGAGGGAGGGAGAAGCATGGGTGCTCCATGCAAACCCTTCTCTATCACTGTGAAAACAATTGGTGTGTATGCATTTTTCAGCCTTTCTGTATGAAGGCCTGCGTGGACCAGCCCCACAGGGCAGAGTAGCATCTGGTCATAGAGCCAGAGCCGGGGTGAAGGGCGCCTCTTTGGTCTCAGCTGTGGCACGCTGGCCTAACTAACATCTCTGAGCCAGGACACTAGCACAAACACCCTTCACACACCCACACCTACATGTTCACAAGTCATAAATGAAGTGACCTTGACAAAAATACCTTTGTGATGATTTGGAAGTCCAGGGTTAATGATTCTTGAATTCCTGCCAACCTGTCCCACAGTATGGCAGTAGGGGGAGAGCCGAGCTAACATGGCCCCTGTCCCTTCCCAGACCTGGTTCCATCTTGTGCCTGTAGGAGTTCTGAGCACAGTATGTGGACGCCCCAACCTTTATTCACACGCCCCACCTACACCCACTGCCTGGCCACCGGGTCTGCCTTGGAGGAGGGATGCTGGGAAGAGGCCCACCCCTGGGCAGAGAATCCTGGGGTCCTGAGCACCCAGAGAATGTTCTGGAAGAGGCGCTGGTTCTGGGTGTGTGTGTGCCCTTGGCCCCACTGATTCTTCACCCCAGGAAGAAAAGCAGAACAGGACGAGGACTGGAAAATGCCGCTAAAGCTCCGACCCAAGACAGGGGTACGTTGCCCAGATCTGAGGGCTGTGTCATCACAGTAAGACCAGCTCCTTTGGGATGCTGCCGAATCCTCTGGTCATCAGATCTTAGGAGAACAAGAGAGTGAGAAAAGATATTTTGGTGGTTTGGACTTTCCCAAAGGGGTCCAAGATGTTGGATTTGAGGCTTACGAGAAACTCACCCCAGGTACCCAGCAAGTACAGGCTGCTCTTCCTGGAACCCAGCTCAGAGCCCCAAGAAATGTGCCACTCCATTCTCCTGGCCTGAGAAGGCAATGCAGCGGATGGAGAGAGGGTGTCCAGGGGTCAAAGCACCTGTGGCCAAATCCCCGTCTGTCACATACTGGCTGTGTCCTTGCCAGGGGCATTAATCCCAGAACCAAACCAGTTCTCTCAATAGCCAAGAGGTGGTGATGGATCCGTAAAGGGGAGGTGATGATGCAAACTGCCTGTTGAAGGTTTGCTTTATATGTCAAGGTGGTTGGGCCACAGCGCTCAGTCAATGTGTGGTCAAACACTATTTGGATGTTTCTATAGGGTGGTTTTAGAGGAGATTATTTAAACCAGTTGACTCTGAGTAAAGCAGATTTCCCTCCATAATGTGGGTGGGCCTTATCAAATCAGTTGAAGGCATTTAATGGTGCAAAAGACTGGCCTCCCGCAAGCAAGACGAAATTGTAGAGCGGCCAGCGTCTGGACTTGGACTGCAACATCAGCTCTTTCCCGGGTCTCCAGGTTTTGGACTTGGGAGCCTCCACAACTGCATGAGACAATCCCTTAAAATAAATCTCTTTCTGTATGTGTATATACACAACCTATTGGCTCTAGTTCTCTGGAGACCCTGATAAAAAAAAATGCAGAGTTTGTAAGCTGCATAATGGTGTGGCCCAGGGTTCAGCACAGGAAGTACCCTCAGTACACATGAACTATTACCATAAAACTGGGAGCAGGCTTTGGAGTCCAACAGCCACAAATCCATTCTGGCTCTGCCATGTCCTGTCAGTTACCCACCTTCTCTGAGCCTCAGTTTCCTCATCTATAAACCTGGGATACTATATATAGAAGCTTTCACTGAGCCTCAGTTTCCTCATCTATAAACCTGGGATACTATATATAGCAGCTTTCACCCAGAGTTGTAGGGATGCTTAAATAGAGCTCCTGTTTGAAGCATTTCCAGTGCATTGCCTGGAATTAATTTATTTGCTTTTTCAACCGATACGCTTACTATGTGCCAAACACTATGCTAGAGGCCTGGGACACAAGGGCCTGTGATCCTGCCCTCAGGGAGCTCAGGTTCAAGTCCAGAGAAGAGACAATAAACAGGTAAGAAAGAAGTGGGGGGCATTTCACACCATGTACATGCTGCGCAGAAAATAGTACCAGGTGGTGTGATGAGAATAATTCTGGGGAGGTAACATCTGTGATAAATGACACCTGTGGAGATCTGGGTAAGGGACACTTCTGGTGCGGAGGAGGCCCCCACCTGGTATGTAGCGTTGCCCTTCTGGTTGAACTTGAACATACGGCAGGCCCAGGGGCACTGAACCATTGCCTACTGTTCGTGAAACGCCACTTCTCCAAAGGCATTTCTCCTGGTCGGGATGTTTTCTTGGGCTTGACTGCAGGTGCCCTCATGTCCCCAACATCTGGAGTGCTTCACAGGCTTTATGTTCATGCAGGAAAGGTTCCAGCTGGCAATATTTCAAAGTTCTCCTTCTTCCCCAGAAGCAAGTTCATCCCCCAACTCAGTGCAGCTGGCACAATGATGGGTGGTGGGTGCCCAGCAAGACCTAGTTGCCTGTCCCCAGCTACCCACTCACTCTGGGCATGACCACTGGCTCCTACACCATGCGGGGCTTGTGCCTTCTAAGGAAACCACGACTAGGAGGAAGAAAATGGACTCATTAAGTGAGAATTCATCCACTGGAACCTATTAGAACAAGGCTCTGGTACTATTTCTACCACTTGGGGCACCACCTCCCTAGGGTTTGGGAGAAAAAGAGACTTTGGCGGGGGCCCAGCTGGATCCAGGGCCTCTGTGTCCCTGGGAGGGTGTTCCTGGGGGTGGGGACCAGAGACTGTGATGAGAGGCAGTGATTCCAGCCCCACTCAAGTCTCAGCCGAGTGCGTGGCCCGGCCGGGGAGGTGCCGAGGTCAGACTGCTCCATGTCTCAGCCTCCCAGCCGCAGAGCGCCGACGCCCTCCGCGAGCTCTCGGTCTTCCCTCTGGAGCTCGGCGCCAGAGGACTGCCTCTCTCCCGGCTGACAACATTCTCCGGGAGACTTCCTCCATGTTAAGGGGCAACGGGAGGCTGGAGCCCTTGGGCATTCAAGCAGCACCTGGCACGGGGTGGCCAGTTTGTTTGCTGATTCTGTTTCCTCAACGGAAGCATTACCCACACGGAGGGCAGGGCCCACAGGGGGGGATCCCTCAGGTGTGAGGTTGCCATGCAGTCTGGGAAGGTGCCCCCCGCCCAGTGACAGGGAACAGTCCCTCTGAGCTACGGCCTCCCGGGGCCAGCTATGCTGCAGGCTACAAGGGGTGGCGGGGAGTCTCCTCAAGGGCAAAGTGGGGAGAGTGGAAGAGAAGGAGAGGAGGGAGGGAGAAGGGAGGCAAAGAGGTGAGAGAAGGAGGAGGTGGGATTCAGCTCAAAGCCACCCATTCAGAGGCCTTCCCTGATGTAATGGCTAATCTGGTGTATCATCTGTATTTGGTCATAGGGCGCCCAGATATTTGGCTATACATTTCTGGGTGTGTCTGCGGGGGTGGTTCTGGATGAGACTGGCATTACAGTCTGTAGACTGAGTAAAGCAGGCTGCCCCCCCCAGTGTGGGTGGGCAGCGGTCCATCTGCCGAGGGCCTGACGGAACCCAGAGGCAGAGGAAGAGAGGCTTCTCCTCCTCTCTCTCTCTCTCCTTGCCTGACTGCCAGGCTGAGTCTTCTGCCCTCAGACTGGAGCTCAGACTATTGACTGTTCTGGTTCTTAGACCTTTGGATTCGGACTGGAGCAACGCCCCTGGTCTTCCTTGGGTTTCTATCTGGGCACCTGAAGATTGTGGTACCTCTCAGCTTCCATAATCACATGAGCCAGTTCCTTATAATACAGATACACAGGTAGATAGATAGATAGATAGACAGATAGATAGATAGATAGATGATACCTAGATAGATAGATAGATAGATAGATAGATAGGTAGGTAGATAGATAGATAGGTAGGTAGATAGATGATACCTAGATAGACAGACAGATAGATAGATAGATAGATAGATAGATAGGTAGATAGATAGATGATACCTAGATAGATAGATAGATAGATAGATAGATAGATAGATAGATGATACCTAGATAGATAGATAGATAGATAGATAGGTAGATATAGATAGATAGATAGATAGATGATAGATAGATAGATGATAGATAGATAGATAGATAATACCTAGATAGACAGATAGATAGATAGATAGATAGATAGATAGATAGATAGATAGATAGATAGATGATACATAGAGAGATGATAGATAGATGATAGATAGACAGATAGATAGATGATAGATAGATAGATAGATAGATAGATAGATAGATAGATAGATAGATAGATAGATAAATAGACAGACAGACAGATAGATAGACTGACTATCTATCTCCTATCAGTTCTGTTTCCCTAGAGAATCCTGGCTAACACACCTAACTACCCACTCTTGAGTAGCTCCTACCAGTTAGTCCGTGACAGGACCTCACATATTTCCTTCATGTTGCTCATCGCTACCTGAAGTTGAATTTTAGCAGCTTGTTTATGTTCCATCTGTAAGAGCATAGGGCCCAGTGAGTGGGAGCCCGGTCTTTCTTATTCAGTGTGTACCCACAGCACCTGGATGGGTCCCTGGTGCTTAGTGAGTCTTTGTAATCATTTGTGGAAGCCAAGATGGACGGGAGCAGTGGAGGAAGGAAGCGTGAGGAATATATTACGAGGAACAACAGAGAGATGATTCCCAGAAATATTCCAGGAGCTTCTCACGAGCCCCTCATCTGAGTTTCAGTCCCCAACAAGGTCCAATGACGCTAACATCTGTCACCCTGCATTACCTGCTGGTGTGTGACATTGTTTTTTTTAACATTTTCTCTGAACTGAAGCACTGCCTTCCTTGTCAGCCTGTACTCCAAAGAAATGTCACACACACCCTTAGGCCCCTGCTGGAGGTTTCTCAGAGGTCAAGTCCCAGTTTGTTTATTTTCAACATTTTCTTGGTCCAGTGCAATCTGCCTTCACAATCCTGGCCTTGTGGAAAGTTCTAGAGATGACAGTCTGGGACAGTGAAGCACAGAGAACAGCCAGGTATTAGCTTGCTGAGGAGGGACTCAGGGTGCAGGTTAGGGATGAGGCTGGGGTTGGGGACAGGAAGGGAAACAACTCGGTTGTACTTTAGAGGGAAGAGTGACTGAGTGGAGGCCATCACAACTACACCAACTGACCGCCCTCCCTCTACAAGTGGCCTCCTCTTAGGCTAAAGATCAGGGTTTGAGTTCTGTCAGTGGAAGTTTTCCCAAGCCACTCACCAAAATGCAACAGCAAATACCCATTGGCCAGGCCTTAGTTTTCTCTTCAATGCCATTTTAACCAAACGGTTTGCTCTGCACGTAACCTCCCAGGGTTGCTGAAGCCCATTACAGCAGAAGCCCTGCTCCCAGACAGGGACCTGAGCTTGAATCCCCACTGTCTGTGCAGCTGCGTCTTGGAAGGAAGGAGACGCCGCACAGTCTCCCAGTCCAGATCTGAGAAATGGACACACAAAATAATCTCTGTGGCCAAGAGCTGCAAGTCTTCTCGTCTCTGGGCTGGTTTTCAGCTGTCAGCCGGGCAGCCCAACTTGGCCACTTCTGCCCACGCACACACAGCTCAGGCTGGGAGGCTGGTGGCTCTGCCTGGGCACTAGGCCCTGTGGATTCTAAGCTCTGGGATCAGAGGGGCTGCCGGGCATGCCCAGGGTGCAGAGCATGGAGCAGGTGCTGCTCTGGGCATGACCGGCTGATGCTCTTCTGCTTTCAGTGTTTCCCTCTCTTCTCAGAGGGGAGCTCCCGGCTCTGGTTCTGTCCAGCAAGGAAGGGCAGGGGGTGGCTCAGTCATCCTCATCCTCGTCTTCCTCCTCGGTGTCTTTGTTGGGGGTGCACCTCTGGACGCACTGCACCACGGTGGCCAGAAAGAAGCTGGAGATGATGGCGGCGACGGACACGGCCACCCCCGAGAAGATGATGATGAAGAGGTCTGTGAGCGACAGGCTGAATCTGCACTCGCTGAAGCTGGCCTCCGACAGCTCGTGCAGGAACACCCTCCTGTTCTCCGTGGGCAGGGAGCACTGGAGCCCATCGAGGCCTGCGTGGGACAAGGAGGCAGAAGGAGAGACAGGCTCACGCTGCAGCACAGGACTGCCTCAGAGTTGGCAAGTGCAGCGCTTACAGGGTGCAAAGCAGGGGCATTCTCCCAAAATGAAAGGGGAAAAACATTGATTTGTATGAAACTTAAAACTTAAAAAAAAGTCTGAATAATCAGCATGGGAAAAATCACCATGTGTTGGTGTCTTTGCCCCACTTTATGGCATGAGACTTGGGTTATTGGTTTGGAGTCTGCTGGGTGGTGAGGGAAGAGGGTGTCATCATTTTAGGGTTTAGGGCCCCTGTAGACCTTCATGCAGAGCTGGGTCATCCGCCGTCTGAGGCGGGGTGCAGGGTGGGCCAGATGTGGGGATGGGGTGATGAGTGCCAGCCGGTGGCAGGTCCCTCTGGTTAGCGGAGCTGCTTCCGAAGTTGGAGGCCACGGTCCTTGTCATTGCCCACAGGGCAGCATGAACGGAGGACTAGCCTGGCACTATAGAAGCTCCGCCACCACAGAAGGGTTTTCCCTTGACTGGAGTGCGGAAAGTAAGCCTTTACTTGGAGGGGCCTTCAAATAGCAGTTGCTGAGGCTCCTCAATCACCCGAAGAGGGCTTTAAAATGCAGATCCCCAGGTATTCCCCTCCTGCCCCAAGAATCTGATCCAGGAGATCTGGGGTAGGATCCCAAACTCTGCATTTAAAAAAAGCATGTTTAATAACCAGGCAATTCTGATGCTGCCAGTCCACAAAGCCCACTTGAGAAGCACTGTCTTCCAGTTGTTGAAGGGGAGAGTTGGGGAGGTTGAAAGCTTCTAGGATGTGCGCTCCTACTAGGACCAGAGGGACCCTTATAAACTCTGTTTTGTTTACTGGGGTCCCCTTTAAGTTTTCACTTGAAGAGTGTTTGGCTAATTTAAAAAAAGCTTCAAACCCTCGAGTCTAGAAAAACATGACATCTGAGTACATGCTGAGGAAGTGCTTTATAACAATAACAATAAATGCTAACTAGAACTTAGCATGGGCCAGGTGCTTTTCTTAGCACTCACATATAATAATCGTCACAATGCCATCAAGTGAAGTAGGGGTGCAACCATGAGAATTGCAGGTGGGTAGACTCTATACCCTCCTTTACTTAGCCTAGAGGAAAACTTGACTGAGGCACAAAGAAGTCATGGTCATTCTCCAGACACTCATTTATTCATTCAACACACATTTATGAAGTTCTTCGCATGTGCCAAGGGATTGGTGATAAACAAGGCAACAAAGGCCCCTATTCTCAGGGAGTACAAATATTAGTGGGAGCAGACAGACACTCATTCACACATTCAACAAATGTTTGTTGAGTATCTACTAGGTAGTAAGCCCTGGGGGTATAGCAACAAATAGAACTAAGTGGTTGCCCTAATGCAGCTAATGTTTTAGACAAGAAATGAGTAGATCAAGAAATACATAAAATGTTTAGGATGAGACATCAGGGTAAAATGAGAAAGAGTGTCTGGGACAAAGGACCATCTTTAGCGAGGGTAGTCAGGAGGAAAGATGGAACCAGCCATGGAAGAACAATCTAGGCAGAGAAGATAGAAAGTTGGCAAATAGCTCGGCATTCAGGGAACATGATACAGCCAGGGACAGCAGAGTCTGGGAACTGAGTATGAGCTGAGGTAGAAGAGATGGGCACATGTTGAGATGAAGCCGTTGATGGCCAGGGTCTCCAAATGAATATTATGAACAGAGGCTTCACCTCCACCACTGACCCTGTTATGGACTGAATTGTGTCCTGCTCCCAAAATTCCTGTGTTGAAGACCTAATGTCCAGTGTGACTGTAATTGGGGATAGGGTCTTTAGGGAGGTAATTGGGTTTTAGGAGGTCAGAGAGTGGGGCCTTAAACTCAAAGGACTGGTATCCTTATAAGAAGAGAAAGCAAGAGAGAGATCTCTCTATCTGCACATGCGCAGAGGAAAGGCCATGTGAGGACACAGCAAGAAGGAGGCCACCTGCAAGACCGGAAGAGAAGCCTCATCAGAAACCAACCCTGCTGGCACCTTGATCTGGAACTTGTAGCTTTCAGAACTGTAAGAAAATACATTTCTGTTGTTTAAGCCACTTAGTTTGTGGTATGGTTATGGTTATGGCAGCCCTAGTGGACTAATACAAACCCTCACTGGACATGAACAAAGACACAGAATCCTGTTAATATTAACCAAAGACTATTTGTTACCAAGCATCACCTACACATCCTGACTGATATGCAACATGAACTATATAAAAGTCAAGTTACTGCCATGATTCCACAGACTTCAGACATAAGAAAACACATGATGTTAGAATTGACAGAGGTCAGATCTTCTGTTTCTGATTTGGAAGAGGAGAGAAAAATTACGTAGCAGTACCTAACACTCATATTACACTTACTACCTGCAAACACTATATTAAGTGCTACATCCATACTAAATAAATTCTCACACAACAACTCTATGAGGTAGGTACTGTTGTTATGCCATTTTATGGATGGGAAAACTGAAGCACGGAGAATCTACATAGCTGGCCTTCAGCAACACAGTTTCATGGAGATGGGAGGACACCATTTTGATAGGAAGCTCAATTGCCAGCAATCTCTGCTTACTTTTGGTTTCCTTGCAACTCATAGGAAAACCTCCAATTGCTCTCTTTTTCAGTGCTTCCAGGTTTCAAAAAGCTAGTCCTCAGCCCATCTCCAGAACTGTCTGAAGGTCAGGAATATTTCTTCACACCTTATTAATTAGCAGGCTTTTGTCCTGCAAAGAGCAGCTCTACCAATTGTACAGCAACCTGGCAACCACCCTTTGGGTCTTTATTTGTGTATCTTTCCTTCTTCAGCTGAAAAACAGAAGCTTTCTCCTTCCTCTGTGCTGGCCCGTCTTTTCTTTCATCTACAGCCAGCCCACGGATGCTCTTCTCCCTGTGGGATCCACTGCCTAGCAACCAGACTCACACTATTTCCTTTACCTGAACCAGTGTCTACCTTACAGACCCAAGGAGGTAGCTGGGCCACAGCTATGTAGGTTTCTCCAGTTTACACTTGACAACAGTTCTCAACTGTTTCTTTGTTGTTAAAAAGCCAAACTTTTGTTTACTTTGTAGGAGCATTTTGCATGCAATTGAACAGAACAGCAGAACTTTAAGACAGAGTTTAGTGGGGTTCTGTTGCAGATACTGTTTTCTGCAATGGAAAAGTGTGGAAATCAATTGCCCTGCCTCCTCTAAACACCATCCAGCCCACCCCCAGCCAAAGATGTTATGAAAATAAACAAGATGGATACCAATGGACTTGCAGGAAGCACAGGCAATTTCTAAATCCAAGATAATATTTGCAATCTTCAAACCTGTAATGGGTCATTATTATACTTTCTGGGAGTCCTTTTCATCAATAAGCTGTATTAACTGGAAAACAACCACTGCGAAACAACACAAGTTCACAGATTTTGCCGTTTAAACTCAACCTTTGCTGGCCGAGAGTCCTCGAATCAATTCTGATTTCTACAGTGGAGTTTGTACCTTGAGATTAGGCTTGACTTTTTTTTTTTTTTTTACAATACAATACTTTTAGAAAATGTCATCTTGAATTTCTCAGTGGCTAGAAGAAATGGGCTTCTTTGAAAAGTGCCACACACAGGCTCACCAGAGGTGGGGGCCTCTGGAACCTTGCTTGATGGAACTAGCATGATAAGATACACTGTCTTAACGTGTTTTCATAACTCACAAAGGGCAGAGAAATAAGAAGAGCTGGACAAAGAGAGTCAGTCTGGCAGACAGGGATGGGCTGGGGGGTGGGGGGCAGGCAGGGCAGGGCTGCAGAATGAATGCTCTAAAGACACATTCAAGGCCAACTGCAGAACTCAGGAGTTGGAGGTAATCTGACTTTGGGGTCCCCTCTTCTGTCCTGTAGAATCTTACTTTAGACCAGAGTTTCTGAGCCTCAGCAGTATTGACATGTTGGGTCAGATCACTGCTGTGGAGCCATACTGGGCACTGCAGGGTGTTTAACAGCATCTCTGCCCTCTACCCACTAGATGCCAGTAGTACCCCCACTACCCAGTATGACGATCAAAAGTGTGTCCAGACAGTGCCACATGACCCCTGGGTGGTGGTGGGGAATAAAGTCCTTCTGGATGAGAACTTTAGACAGAAAAGTTTAGCTAAGTAGTAGCCTTCTAAGGCAGGCTAGTTGGAGTTAGTAAGTTTATTCGGAGGCTTTGATTCATGCATTAAACAAAAGAGGTGAGCTTTACACTAGATGCCATGAAGGATACAAGAAAGGGGAGGAGGGAAGGAAGGAGGAAGAAAGAGGAAGACACAGTCCTGGTCTTGAGAAACTTAGTAACAGGAGGGGCATTAGGACCGGGGCAGTAGGAGGATGGGCATATGGAGAGGAGGAGGGGAGTCCCTGTGATGTCCCTACTTGATCTGGAATGTTCTCTCTCCTTTCCTGACCCCCATCTCTTCCGCCATCTGAGTTAAGAACAGTGAATGAAAGCCAGTATTTATAGGGCAGTTCATGTGTGCTGGGCATTGCTCTTAGGGTTTTACATGAATTAAGTCATTTAATCCTCATACCAACCCAATGAGGAGCCTGTTACAATTATCTCCATTTTACAGATGATTAAACTGAGGCCCAGAGATTCCAAGTGACCTGCTCAAGACCATGCAGTCAGGGAACAACAGAGCTGAGACTGACCCTGTCTCGGTCTGGCTCCAGAGGCCACATACTGACCGCTACCCCATCCCACCCACTCCCCAGGCAGGGAGACCCTAGGCTGCACCAGCCCCTCCTGACATCTCAGAGCAAGTTCCCTCCAGGCAGAGGGTCTCTTAAAGAGATGTCCTAGAACTGCTGCCACCCTCCTGGTCCCCAGGCCCTGACCTGGACTAGAGAGTTCAAGCTGCTGGTCCAGCCTCTCTCTTATTGAGAGAATGGCCCCATGGGTGCTCTGCAGTGTGGACATGGAGGGACAGCCCTCCA